GGAAGAGATTTCTCGCCTCAGAAACAAAAGAACATATGTAGAAAAAATTAAGGAACACTCTAGGAATATTATATAAAGGTCAATAATGGCTCTTTAAATACAAAAATAAACCTGTGGCAACATCAACTCAGTTAATGCTTAAATGGAAGTAAAATCTCAGTGCTTTAATTTCAGCATCAGTAACAATAAGAAAAGGAGAGGGAAAATAATAGTACCAACCTGGTAAGATCAAATGACTGAAACACTCAGAACACTGCTTGGCTTATATTTCAATAAATGTTAACTAATATTATCATCACAAAGATAAATTTCAAACTGACACATTATTCAAGTCTTTTAAATCTAGTATAACTAATGATAAACGTAGTCCCAGAGAGAAATATTTCCCTAATGGAAAAAACAAGGAATTTAAAGCCACTCCTTCCCTAACTCCCTATACCTCTCTGCTACCACCTACCACTGATGGGAGATCAGGAGCCCTTCCTCTTTCTTCCCATGGTACGTCTCCATTAGAGCATTATACCAGAATGTTTTCATTGTTGGTGCACTGTCTTCCCCACCAAGGCTGCTATGAACTCCTTAAAGTCAGCAATTATGTCCTGTGCATCTCAACATCTCCAGGGCACCTGTTCTCACACAGAACAGAAGCTCAATAAAGGTGTGTTAAATTAACAAATATGGTCTTGCAGGAAACATATATAAACGTATGCATGTGTGTGTGTGTGTGAAAAACATGATCCAATTCAAGGTTTGTATTTCGTGGAATGCAGTGACCTTGCTATCAGACCTTTCAAGAAGGCAGGTAGCTAAGGCACCTCAGTTGGGACCAAGAAAGAAAGAAGGAATCACTCAAGAAATTCTCAGACACGTCCAGAGCGCTCTGAGCAGCAGCCAACGAACTGGGCTCCAGGTTATAAAGAAGACCACAACTTTTTCTGTGAAGAGCTCACAGCCTGGTGGACACCCATAGGTAAGAATCAGGCCCCACCGGCAAAAAGAGATGTTAAAGTTAAAACTAGATCAAAATGTCTGACTCTCAGAGTTATAAATTGCAGTGTTCTTTCTATTAGAACAATGCCTTTCAAACGTTGACAGGGCACACAGTGAAAAATACATTTTGTAGTTCTACCCAGAACAGATACATACATTTCTGGTCTTTTCTATTTATTTAATTCTATTTTTATTTCACTTTGTTAACATGTACGTCTTGACATACTAAATTGGTTTATGACTCAAAGGTGGAAAAATACTGTTCTAGAAGATACATTTTTAAAACTCTAGAATTTTAAGGTCAGATATAAGTCTTAATAATTTTTCTCACACAGTGAATTTGTATCCCAGCAGAAAAAGTAAAACACTAACAAATAATCAAATAACAAAGACTAACACAGAGCCATGACAGCTGTCAGGGAATGGAAGGAAGCTAAACCTAATCTCCATCAGCTTTTCCTAACACCACCCAAGTAAATATCCAATCTAAGAAAAACAGCAAAAACAGCTTGATGGCAACTTCTGTAGCATCCCAGTTTCCTTCCAGCTACAGTGTGACGCAAAAGACCCTCATCCTATATAACAATTCTGGAGCGTCCACTTACAATGAATATTTTTTAAACAATTTGGTGTAGGAGACTTTAATTACGTATGTTTGGATGGAGAACAGTGAATTTACTAAAATAAATGAATCAAAATCAAAACAAACTATACTAAATAAACACATTTTATTTTTAAAAGAGCTGTCTCAAATTCGCCCATCTGCATTTAAACTGGGGGCCAGGGGAGTGCACTGATTTTTTCCCAGAGCTGAATAAGGCATGCAAATGCGGATCATTAGTTAAGCTAGCAGCTCTTCTGGTTTGCCCTTGAACCATCAGCACAAAGGCAGTATATGACTTTTCCTCAACACGATATGTTTGTACAGCACTTCCCACTAAAGGAAACATGGTGACAACAATCAGTGCTACATCGAAGTAGGCTGGCAAGGCACAAACCCCAATGTTCTCAGAGTCCTTTCAAACGCTGTGTCCCTCTGACAAGACGTAAAGACAGAAATAGGCAGATCAGAAAATCTCTTTCCATCTCTGTGTCCACAGGCAGTACTCCAGCTCTAAGAATACAAGAGTGCTCATTCACATTTTCGGGCTTATGAAGCTCACCATTCCCATCCAAAAAGTACGTCCATGTTTAAAGGACTCATTTTTGTGACATCTGCCTCAAAACAAACGACAGTTTCATAAAATCTTAATACATCTTCTGTCTTCCCCAAAAGAAATCTATGTAGAACTATGTTTAGAAAAATATTCTTTTTGTAAAGATAAAATGCATTTTCCTAAGAAAAAAGAGAAAGTCATACTATTTTTCAGCTCTGTCCAACAGAAATGTCTATTATGCTGTACATATTTATGCTGTCCAGTACAGCAGCTGTCCAATACAGTAGCCACTAGCAATTAAATACCGAGCTCTTGAAATGTGGTTGGTGTGACCGGGACACTGAACTTTAAATTTTATTTCATCTTAATTAACTTAAATTTAAATGGCCACATTCAGCTAGTAACTACCATATGGGGCAGTGTAGGCTAGAAAATCAACATAAGTCCTCAGCAGCAGGCCTACCTAATTGACTTGTCTTAGACTGAATGTTACAATTTGAAAAAATGATATTCTATACCAATTTTATATTCAATTTTCAGCTCCCTAATTAATATTTAAGGTATCCTCAGAAATGGTTTCTCTACATTTGACAATTTTTATCCTAAAATGTGAACACAGTCAATTTGCTAAGCAGGATTCCTTTGGCAACATTCAATTTTCCATCTGTGAAACTTAAGCACAGGGAAAGGAAAAAAAACTTAAGTCCACCCTCCTCTTGATACAAAGGGAAGAAGTGAAACACACAATCCAAACAAAGGCTAATAGAACCCCCTAGATCCTTCTATGGGTACATCTGCTCATCAACCCCCGCTTATTTGCTTCTTTAGACCAAGTGTGGATTTCACCAAAAGCCATGCCTTCCTTTGTTTGACCTCATTTTGGCTGTGTTCTATTAAGATCAGGCCATGACTAGACCCCTTAAAAGTATTCTACCTGTAGGAAACCATTTAAAATAGACACATTAAAACAGTCTATATTTAAATGAGACAAACTGATCAAATGGTCAAAATGCAGTAGCCTGAAGAGAGCAGATGCTTCTGAGAGACTAAAAAGGCAGTTAATACAAGACCACTTTCCAAGCAGGTGGCAAAAAAAAAAAAACTGCACAATTATATAGTCAGCAAGGGAGAGACACCCAAGGAAATATACTTAAAAATACTTTGCAGCCATGCTGTGGCCATAGAATAACTAACTTAAACTTCCAGCAACACCACTGTGCTCCTTGCAATCTCAAGGTCAATGTCAAATTAATTTTTTCCGCTTCTCATCATGCTAACGCTTATGCACAAATATACGACACATATAAGCACCAACATTTCAGTAATTTCAGAGTGTTTAAGTAGAATGAACTTCTAGAACTTGTATCTAAAAATACTATGAGCTCATTTAGAACAAGCAAACTTAAGTATACTGTTCAACAGCCACTAGTACCACACAGCGTATTTGGGGAAGCTCAAATGGTACAGAGCAAAGCTATTCTAAGAAGCAGAAGAGTACTTCACCTGAGTTCTCAGGTAAGGATTCAGCACCACAGGTGAGAACTCCATTTTTCTCCACCACTACTACTGCTACCACAGGGTTCTAAAACAGGACTAGCAGCTCACCCATTATATCCAAAAAGCACTGGGATCTCAACACACATGACAAGGAGGCAATGCATGCACTACACCAGGGGCTTTGGGTCTTGCAGAATAATAAACGGCATTGCCAGAAGGAGAAAAGGCTTCATCTGGGGCAACTGAGAGCACTCTGACCTAGCTGGAGTCTGTCAGACTCCATGAAAGCTGCGTGCTGTCAGTCCTTTTTTCTCCTATGTATGGATAAAATCTGCAGATGCAGCCAGGGCAGGGAAGAGGGAGACAGAGAATTAAAATGGGGACTGCCATGCTGTTTGACCCTGAAAGTACCCACTTCGCTTCCAAGCTATGAACTATGGACTCCACTGACTGCAGCATCTGTGGCATTATCTCTACAGAGCTTGTTAGTTATGAAATTCTATGATAAAAGCCTCAATGTCTAAGACAAGTGCTAGAAACCTCAAGGCTTTTTTCATCATCCTAAACTCTTAAGGAAAAGAGTCAAATGAATATGACAATATAGAATTTTCACAGCAGAGGCACATGTTCTCAAATCATATAAAGCTTATACACAGAAAATAAACATTACTCCTCAGTTTTTTAAAAGTCTGCTTCAGAATAGCATTACTTTTTCCCAAAAATGCAATTTAAAGGCAGAAATAAAAATATACTTAAAGATACTCAGAAGATAAACTAGCTTAACATGGATAAAGCTTAATCTTTTTATATTTAATATTCTGATGCTGATTTATGAGAAAATATAGATTCTAGTAAACAAAAAAAACATGTAACAGAAAAGAAAGCCATTGTTTGGCTTGCCTTAAAATGTTAACACAGTGCAGTACTACACTAAATGAAAAAACTTATTAAACTATCTTAGCAGAAATACAAGTCTTTTCTCTAAATTCCCAATGTTTATAGGCTAAATATTTACCTCTTTAGTTTATAAACCCTCAAGTCCTATCTAACCCACTCCTATTCCTCTAGAGTTTTTGCAGACAGGTTTTAATTAATGCCAATCACATTAAAAACCTATTATTTAAGGAATCTGTCAATATATAATTATGAAATTATACCTCCAAAAATATCATCCTTCCTAAACTGGGATTCTAGGGGGAAAAAAACCCTCAGAATTGTTTTCTATTTATTTTTTCAACAGTCAAAGCATCGAGCATGCTCAGCCCAAAGTGTAATATATATTCAATCATGATTCCTGACTTGACTAACATTACAAATTTTTTCACATGCATTCAACAGAAGGGCTCTCACTCTTACCTGTATATCCAGCATACCATCCCCAAGAAGCCACCATTCCTAAAAGCCATTTATACATGATTCCTTCAATATACCAGAACCGTTTACTGTCCAGCACTCGAAGGGGCTGAAGTATAATTACATAGCAGATGTAGGATGAAATAGCAACCAGATTGTTGGCGACCATGAAGGCAAATCTCATCAGCGCTTTCACGAAGATCCAGCCCAGCCACGGAGCTTCTTCCAAAGTCACAGCCATTCTCACACTCGAGTCCGTCCTGTCTTTCTGAGGCGAAAGGAAATTGCACTTAAAAAGGAAAATGCAGCAAACACGTCTAAACAGTCACCAACATAGAAATCGCCATCAGCACAAAAATTAAAGAAAAATCGCGGGTCTAAGCTTTCCCAGTGTAGTACCTCGGTGATCTCTCCGGGAAATTCCAGAGGGGGACAGAGAGCGAGGGAGGAGGAGCCGCACAAGGTCAAGGGAGCTGTGCACCGAAGCACAAGGTGTGTCATAATATATTTAGCAAATGATAATACTATTCCCACTAATGGGTGGCCGTCCCCGCACCGCGTCTCACTGCAGTCTTGCTTGGACTTTGGGTAAGAAAAATACTGACACCCTGAGTACCTCCAAACTGACGACACGGGTGAAAAGACTGAAACATGGACCTCACGATCGGATTTCCCACACTGAGCCTCTAGCCCCTCGCCACCACCATTCCTGCACATTGATTCATTCCTTAAAAAGGTCTCTCGCATCAGCCAACAGTTACGCTAACATTTTTCATTTGCGGCAAAGGGGTTTTCTTCTCCTTTTTTTTCTTTAAGAAATAGAGGGGCCTATAAAAGGGGGCATAAAGGTAAGAGAAAGTGGAGAGATAATTAGGCAAGAGGAAGGACCGTAGGGGGAGGGGAGCAAGAGCCAGGAGGAGGTGAGCTGCGGGGCCGGGGATGGAGAGAGAGGTCCCCGAGCGGAGGGCAGGGAGGCGAGCGTGATGGAAGAAGCGGGGAAGACGAGGCGACGACCGCGCTCGGGCGGCGGGCAGCGCACGCAGCGGCTTCCGCGGGTGCGGACGGGGTCGGGCCGGCGGTCTCGGCCGCGCGCGGGGCTCACCTCGGCGGGCGCCGGAGCGCGGGGCGCGGGCCCGGGGCGCGGTGCTGCGCGGCGGGCGGCGGGTGTCCCCGGCCGAGGGGTCGCGGTCATGGACGCGGCGGCGGCCGAGGCGGGGCGCGAGCGGGCGCGCGGGCGCCCTACTCCCCTCGCGGCAGCCTGCGGACAGAGGCACGGCGGGGCCTCAGAGGCCGGACCTGTCACCGGGGCGGGTCCCGGGGAGGCGGGGGGATGCCCCGCGCCCCCGCCTCCTCCTCGGGCCTACCGCGCCCTCGACCCTCGGGCCGCCGCCTCCCCGGGCCGCACGACGCCGACACCCACGTCCCGCCCCCGGAGCCTCCCCAGGCCCGGCTCTTCCCTGCCGCAGCCGCGGGGCCTGCGCCCGCCGAGCCGGAGGTTACCTCGGGCTGGCCGAGCCCCGGCCCGGGCTACGGGAGCCGGAAGAATGCATGGCCGGCGGAAGGAGGCGGCGGCGGGGCCCGGCCCCGCTCCGGCTGCGGCGCGGCCGGCGCCCCGTTCCCCGCAGCGCCGAGACTCGGTCCCCAGGGCTCGGCCGCGTCCGCCGGGCTGGCGAGGAGGGGCGGCGGGAGGAAGCGGCGGGAGTCGGGACTGCGGCGCAGCCGCCCCCAGAGCGCCCTCTAATGAAGGCGCGGTCGCGCCGCCGCCCGCGCGCCGGATGCCGCTCGTCCGCGGGCCGGGGCCCTCGCGGCTGCCTGGCCCAGGGCCGCGACCCCGCCGAGCCCGGGCCCGGAGGAAGCGCCGCCCGAGGGCTGCTTTGGTCCAGCCTGAGTGAGAGCCGCTTTTCAGCCCAAACAGCCGATTTCCATTGTTAGGGCTCCCCGCCAAATAAATGATCACCGCCCCAACGGGGAAGCGGACTCCTCGAAGACTAATGCCCTCTTTTCTTTCCTAATGAAACCCAGTTGCTCTCGTGGCTTTTCTTTGGAACCTCTCCAGAGTAGTAGGTCTAGAGTTTAAAGTCAGTTCACTTCAACTGCCAGAATTCTTGTTTCTGGAAACCACCTGGAACATGAATGACAATTCCAATTCCCCATCCGTTCTCCCACCCACTCCCATAAAAAAAAATTAAAAAAAAAAAAAGAATCCAGAGGGATACAGAGACACTGAAGTTTAGTCAAGGAGAGAAAAGCACTTAGCACCTGCCATTGATGAATGGTAAAAATGGTAAAAACAAAAAATAAAAAACAAAAAAAAAACACAAACACAAAACCATGGACAGGACTCTTCATTCCTGGGGCCCTGTAGCTGTATTCTGTTTCAAAGGCTGGACCACCAGAAGGAAAGTAGAAAAATGGCCCAATGACCTACCCACCTGACCATTCTCAAACGGCCTGCCTAAATTTCAGTTAAAAAAATTTTTAAATCTTGTCATATCCCTTAATCATATTTGTGAATAGAGGTGGGGGCAGTTTTACATGTCCTTAGTGAACTACCATATTTAAATCACAATGCCATCTATTCTGCCTACTTTGAAAAATGTATGTCTCTGTGTTTGCTTTGGACTCTGAACTATTTTTATTTCTCCGATTTCAGTTCTTCTTTGGTCCTCAGGAGAAGGGAAGAAAACTCACCCTACGCTGTATGAAAGAATGCTCTTTTTATTCCCATTCCCTTTGGTGATGAGGGAATACACAAAAGCAGAGAGCCTAGCTGAAATAATTTATTAGATTCCTTTCTATTTATTATTCATTTGTTTTTACTAATATATGTTATTTATATGTTTCACTAATATTATATTTTAACTGTAAAGGGCATAAAAAGGCACAGGCCCTGTCAGAATATTTTCCATATAAGTTCAACTGAAAAGGAAAGTTAGATAAACCCTTTCTTATTCTTTGTATTCCTTCTGAGAATTTAGGTGCCACAGTACTAGCACCTTTAAATAAATCTCAGAGAAATAATATACATACCATAGATTACTGTTCTAAATATGTCATTATATTCTTAGATGAGTTAAGATAGAGGAAGCCCATACTTCTTCTGAGGATCAGGAGTAAACTCCCATAACGATTCCATTTGGTCCATCCTGTTCAGAATTCACCACATGCTGGTATACACTGGCTGATACTTGGAGAGAGATAACCTGCAATGGAATTGATACCTGGTTCCTGGGTCAAAGAGCATCTGCCAGAGCATCAGATACTCCAGCACTTGCTGAGATGTAGTTAGTCCCAACCAGCCAGGCTTAGAAAAGACCCAGAAGTTGGAAAGGACCTTGCCCAGTAGGTCTCCAACTTTAGTGTGCAAAAACATCATTTGGGGTGTGTATTGAAAAGATAGATTCTAGAGCCTCATACCAGAAAATTACAATACTCTTAGGTCCAGAGGGTCCTGGGAACCTGCTTTTTAAACAGCATCGTTGGTGATTCTGAGGCAGGCAGTATGCAGACCTTGCTTTCAGAAACCTTGACCTAGAGGTAGCATGAGATAATCACATCCTTTTCTAGACCCTTCGTCATTTTAAGTCATTTGGTCGTATCTGTTCTTATCTGTTTTAGCTTCCTTGTGCTGCCATAACAAAGCACCACAGAATGGGTGAGTTAAACAACAGAAATTCATTGTCTCACAGTTCTGGGGGCTGAAAGTCCATTGTCACAGTTCGGCAGGGTTGGTTTCTTCCAAGGCATCTCTCCTTGGCTTATAGATGGCTGCCTTCTCCCTGTGTCTTCACACTGTCAGCTCTTCCTGCATGTGTCTGGTGTACTCTGTGTCCCAATCACTTCTTATAAGGACACAAGTGACATTGCATCAGGGCCTACCCTAATGACCTCATTTTAATGTAATTGCCTCTTTAAAGACTCTATCTCCAAATACAGTCTGAAGTGCTGAGGGGTGAGGCTCCAGAACATGATTCTTAAGGGGACATAATTCAGCCACAACATCATCCTTCTACTGTTTACACTGCAGAATTATTATTAACTCTAATGGAAGAGATGTGAAAGCCCTAATTTTGAGTATTTCAGCGGTTCCCCTCTTGTTTGGCTCAACTTCATTAGAGTTTTCTTGAAGCTAAGCAAGCAGAGCAATACACTGTATTCCAAGTATAGACATGTCCTGGTCTTCTTTCCCCCAGGGTAAATGAGGGGCTTATCTTTTGAACTTTCTTGACCCCAGCAGCATATTCAGTTTCAAGACAATTTTAGGACCTACAGTATTAAGGAACTGTGTTTGGGCTGACTCTTCTGGTAATAATTTCAGATGATAGTTATATTTATGTCCTGTATTCTTACATATTCACATATACTCTTACCTATACTTTTTGCCCCTGCCACCTTTTAATCCACTTAGACAGCCTCCTGAGATTTTTTTGTAGTTTATTTTTGAATGACTCTAACAGGAAGTTTTGGGAAGGCCAGTTCTTTAGGGTAGACAGATTTGTAGAAAGCAAGGATAATTCTTCAGCGACTAATTAGCTTCCAGTCAGTCCCTTGTCCTGCTGTCTGAGGGCCATGTTTCTCAAAAAACAAACCTTAAGAATTTCAGAGCTTTCTATAAACCCCAGTAGGGGAAAAAAGAAAACAGACCCCACCCAATAGCCACAGGCTTTACAGTTTCGGTTTTAAAAGCCTACATTTGAACCACAAGAGGATGGTCTTTTGAAAGAGAAATATGACTTCTCACATTTCCCTAGCTTCCAGACATTTTAACACAATCTAACCACAACACCTGAGAAGGTTAAATTCCACCCATCTGGTCCACATATATACAACAAATTAGGATATAACCAGGGAGGGATTCCCATAGGCAGGAGAATCCCCCTGGGCCCTCTCTCCTAGTGGCAATTATAAAAACATTTCATCTACCTGTGCCTGTTTCTGCACTGAAGCTCCAATAAACTACTTCCTCTCTAGGGGGAACCCCCATCAGCAGTGTTGTCAACGTGCAATGATTTGGCACAGGCCCCCCACATCACTAAAAACAGTGGCAACACAGAAATTAGCACCTCAAGAGAGTCATGCTTTCTGACTTCTGTCTACTTTAACTTCCAACAAAAAGGGAAATATCTATATAAATGTATATAAAATATACATACATTTTTTCTTTTATATTAGTAATCATTTCATATAAAATGTAGTAGGGCTTAAAACCTTAATTTTTAGACAAGCTGGGTCAAATCATCAAGACTTGACTGCAGCTTTATTGAAGCCTTTTCAGTAACTTTTTATTAACAAGGTTGGCCTTAAACAGTATTGCAAAGTAAACAATTCTCTCTTCTTCTCTGAGAGCCTCTCCTCTCCAACTATTTTCCCTTTTCCCCTCTTACTACTAAAATGGTCCCTGGTTTTCAAAGGGCACTGACAACGCTACCTAAGAACCCCAGTCTCCCAAGAGACAACCTTCTAAGCTAGAACCTTCTTTCTCAGCTGTCCAACATTGCATTTCCTTGGCTCAGTCCCATCTTTCCTGCCTATGGTAAACTAATCCATACTGAGGTGCTTATGGCTAAAAATCATGTTCCCTCTTCCTAAAGTTTGAACATTTTATAAACCACTTCCTAAAACCCCAAACCCTTAATGGGTTTCTAGTGGCAGATTCTCAGGTAATAGGTGATTATCCTTATCAGATAATTTTGGAGAAGATTATTTCAGCAACTTCCTCCCAACAGAACCTATGAAGTCATGTTTTACTCCTCTGAATAAGACAAATTCAGATTTAAAATTGTATTTCCCTAACTTAAGAACTAAAATAATGACATGTTATTACTGATTGTGTTAAAATAATAGCTGACACTTATTGATCACTATCAACCTTCCAGGCCCCGTTCTTAATGCATTACATGCATTAACTCATTTAGTCTTTGCAAAGATCTTACAAGAACCTTACAGATGGGGAGATTAAACAATCTGCCCTAGGACACTCAGCTGGCAACAGCAGGGCTGGGACCTGATTCCCAGTTCTCAGGCTTCAGAGGGCATGTTCCTGACCACACACTACAGAGCCTTTCTAGGAGGGACTGGCCGAAAAGCTATCCCCCACTGAGAGAGATGCGAGTCGCAGCGGACCCTACTCTTTCCCAGTTTCGTCTCGTCACTGCCTGCTTACCCCAGCTCAGTGACTGGTGAGCTGTTATACAAGCCATACTACAGTCTCACCATCTTGTAAAGATGCATGGTGCAACTCCATACATACAAGCTTATGGTTTTTTTGCTTTCCTTTTCTCTGTGTCTATTGATCATATCCATCCCTTGCCATCCAGCTATCACAGGATCCATACTCCACTCCCACCCCACTTCAGAGTTCATTGCAGCTTCCTCCATCGGTATGGTTCTGCCACAGTGCTCACTACATTGTAACAAGCCTGGATGTTTCATTGTATTTCAGGTTCCCTGCCAAGGTCAGGGGTTTCACATCACCCATCTTTCTCGTTATTGTTTTGTGAGTGTCTAGCTTAGTGCCTTCTATGTGATAGGAAACAAATTTTTGAATGCAGTGTTTAATTTATTTAGACTAAATTTCTTTTCATTTGTTGACAGTAGGATACCTTGAATGGTGATATCATCAAACCATAGCCAGAAGAA